GGAGGCTGAGGTGGGTGGATCATCTGAGGTCAGGAGTTCGAGACCAGTCTGGCCCACGTGGTGAAACCTGGTCTCTACTAAAAATACAAAAATTACACGGTCGTGGCGGCACACGCCTGTAACCCCAGCTATTCGGGAGGCTGAGGCAAAGGGGTCACTTGAACCCAGGAGGTGGAGGTTGCAGTGAGCCGAGATCATGCCATTGAACTCCAGCCTGGGTGACAAGAGCAAAACTCCACTTAACAACAAAAAACCGACAGCAGGTGCTCTGGGGAGAAGGTGAAATGGTGGGAGCACATGCTGCTGGGGGGCAGCACCGCCATGGAGGACGGGCATCTCCTGCTGAGGTGGGGGATCCGCGAACCTCACGATTCGGCAATCCCACCACTAAGAATCTCCCCGAGAGGAGTGGGCGCCAGGTGCCCCAAGCAGCACGCACAGGGGGGCTCGTAGCAGTGCTGCCCCTAAATGCCAAGATGGGACCCACCCAAGCGTTTGTCGACGGTACAGTGGATGTGTGCGCTGCGTTACGTGGTGCAACGGATGTCGGGCCGCAGTGAAAATCGTAAGCGCTTCAGTGAATCCCGAGGGCGGGATTCCATTCGTTAAAAGTTCCAGAACTCAGGAGCCGGTTTAACAGACGATGCGCTAAGGGACGCACTCTCGGGTCGTCAAAATGCACGCAGGAGCTTGGAATTGCTTGCTGGGTGCTGGGTCCCAGCTGGGAAGGAAAGGGCCAGAAGGAGCCCCCGAGGGCTTCCAGGGGTCCGGATGAAGCGCTCCTTCTTGACATTTTATGGCTAAATTGATGGGTGATTGCTTTGTGAAAATTCATCAAGCCGTACTTTTATTTATTTATTTTTTTATTGCGTTTTAGGTTTTGGGGTACACGTGCAGAACATGCAAGATAGGTGCATAGGTGCACACGTGGCAGTGTGTTTTGCTGCCTTCCCCCCTTCACCCACATTTGGCATTTCTCCCCAGGCTATCCCTCCCCAGCTGCCCCCACCACTGTCCCTCCCTATTCCCCCCAATAGACCCGATTGTGTAGTACTCCCTTTTAACAAAGTGTTACTTTTCATTGACTTCCGTGCATTGTACTTCGCATTTAAGAAGTCTTTCTTTCCTGTAGGTCATGAACAGCCATGACTTTTGGTGAGAAGTCGCGGCTTTGAGCGTCACGGATTTTCTCTGGCTGCTTCGAAGGCATTTTTCTCTTTGCATCTGGGGCTGCGCGGTTTCGCTGTGACGCGCTGAACCGGGACCTGATGTTCCTCCTCTTGTGCGGACTTCTCTGGCCGTCTTGAACCGGCAGGTTGGCATAGCTTATCCACTGTGGGCCGTTTTCAGATGCTGTTTCCACAGTGACTACTTCTGCCTCTTCCGCCGCCACAGCCTCCCTGGCCAGTCTTCCCGGGGCACATCTCCTGCCCTGGCTGCAAGCTGCCCCTGACCAGCCACATGGCGCCTCCAGCTCAGCAGGTGGATGTAGAATGGAGGTATGGAGGAGGTTCCTGTCCCTTTTCTGTCTCAAAATAGTCCCCTCTCTGCCCAGTGCCCGTCAAGGGCTGGTCCCCTCACCCAAAGTTGAGTGCAATGGAGCTCGCCTCAGTGGGCCCTGTGGTTTGGTGGGGTCAGACACTTCCCCATTCCCGTGTGCCCCCATCCATCTGAGCTAGTCAACTGCATGCTCTGGGAGCAGGAGGAGCCAGGAGCACACATTCCTGTCTCTGAAGCTCCTGTGGGACAGCTGAGCACCTGCGGTTAAGAAAGAATGTTAGCCAGAGCAATCAGGCAAGAAAAAGAAACAAAGGGAATTCAAATAGGAAAGGAGGAAGCCACATTGTCTCTATTTGCAGACGACATGATAGTATATCTAGAAGGCCCCATCATCTCAGCCCAAAATCTCCTCAAACTGATAAGCAACTTCAGCAAAGTTGTACACTCAGGATACAAAATCAATGTGCAAAAATCACAAGCATTCCTATACACCAATAACAGACTGAAAAGAGAGCCAAATCAAGAACGAACTCCCATTCACAATTGCTACAAAGAGAATAAAATACCTGGGAATACAACTAACAAGGAATGTAAAGGACCTCTTCAAGGAGAACTACAAACCACTGCTCAATGAAATAAGAGAGGACACAAACAGATGGAGAAACATTCCATGTTCATGGTTAGGAAGAATTAACATCGTGAAAATGGCCATACCGCCCAAAGTAATATACAGATTCAACGCTATCCCCATCAAGCTACCAATGACCTTCTTCACATAACTGGAAAAAAACACCTTAAACTTCATATAGAACTAAAACAGAGCCCGCATAGCCAAGTCAATTCTAGGTAAAAAGAACAAAGCTGGAGGCATCACACTACCGGACTTCAAACTATACTACAAGGCTACAGTGATCAAAACAGCATGGTACTGGTACCAAAACAGAGATACAGACCAATGGTACAGAACAGAGGCCTTGGAGGCAACACAACTTATCTACAACCATCTGATCTTTGACAAACCTGACAAAAACAAGCAATAGGGAAAGGATTCCCTGTTTAATAAATGGGGTTAGGAAAACTGGCTAGCCATGTGCAGAAAGCAGAAACTGGACCCCTTCCTGACACCTTACACTAAAATTAACTCCACATGGATTAAAGACTTAAACATAAGACCTGGCACCATAAAAACCATAGAGGAGAATCTAGGCAAAATCATTCAGGACATAGGAGTAGGCAAGGACTTCATGACCAAAACACCAAAAGCATTGGCAACAAAAGCCAAAATAGACAAATGGGACCTAATCAAACTCCACAGCTTCTGCACGGCAAAAGAAATAGTCATTAGAGTGAATCGGCAACCAACAGAATGGGAAAATTTTTTGCAGTCTACCCATCTGACAAATGGCTGATATCCAGAATTTACAAAGAACTAAAACAGATTTACAAGAAAAAAACAAACAAACCCATTCAAAAGTGGGCGAAGGATATGAACAGACACTTTTCACAAGAAGACATATATGAGGTCAACAAACATATGAGAAAACACTCATCATCACTGGTCATTAGAGAGATGCAAATCAAAACCACATTGAGATACCATCTCATGCCAGTTAGAATGGCGATCATTAAAAAATCTGGAGACAACAGATGCTGGAGAGGATGTGGAGAAAAAGGAACACTTTTACACTGTTGGTGGGAGTGTAAATTAGTTCAACCATTGTGGAAGACAGTGTGGCGATTCCTCAAGGCCTTAGAAACAGAAATTCCATTTGACCCAGCAATCCCATTACTGGGTATATATCCAATGGATTATAAATCATTCTACTATAAGGACACATGCACACGAATGTTCACTGCAGCACTGTTTACAATAGCAAAGACCTGGAACCAACCCAAATGCCCATCAATGATAGACTGGACTGGGAAAATGTGGCACATATACACCATGGAATATTATGCAGCCATCAAAAACGATGAGTTTGTGTCCTTTGTAGGGACATGGATGAACCTGGAGAACATCATTCTCAGCAAACTGACACAAGACCAGAAAATCAAACACTTCATGTTCTCACTCATAGGCGGGTGTTGAACAATGAGAACACATGGACACAGGAAGAAGACTGTCACACATGGGTCTGTTGGGGGGAAATAGCAGAGGGACAGCTGGGGGTGGGGAGTTGGGGAGAGATAGCATGGGGAGAAAGCCAGATATAGGTGAAGGGAAGGAAGGCAGCAAATCACACTGCCATGTGTGTACCTAAGCAACAATCTTGCATATTCTTCACATGTGTTCACACACACATACACACATGCAGTCTCACAAACACACAGTCACACATACACAGCCACACAGCACTTACATGCAGTCACACACATGCACACACACCTATACACACATGCGCAGTCTCACACACGTACGGCCACACACATACACACAGCTGCACACAGCACATATACACACATACATGCAGTCACATGCATGCACACATGCACACATGCACACAGTCCCATACCTGTAGTCACACATATATACACATATGCACACAGTCACATGTATGCACACATGTAAACACAGCGCACACATGCACGGTCACACACATACATAGTTAACACGTACATACAACACACCATGCACACACGTACACACAACACATATATATGGATACACTTGAAGTCACACACAGCACATGTACACACACACACAGTCACATACACACACTTGTATACACAACACACACATAACATACTTGTGTCGTCACATGAACACCACACACAGCATGCACACACATGCAGTCACACATCCAAACACATGCACACAGTCACGCAGCATATATACACAGGCACACAGTCAATACATGCACACACTTGAACACACACACATGCACAGTCACAAACATGCACACACAATGCAAAAATGCATGCACACAGTCATATGCACAGTCACACATGCACACATAGCATGTACACATCCAGTCACACACATGCAGTCACCCCCACAGCACATACATGCACAGAGTCACACATATGCAGTCATGCACACATGCAGCACATACACACACGGGTGAAAGTGCACATGCTACACACACACGAACACATGTCCACACAGTTACACACATGCACAGTCACATGAACACATAACACACATGCACACAGTCTCTCACACAGGTACACAGATGCACAATGAGGTTCCCCTCCATTTGCCTCCTCAGTCCTGATTATTGATTGGTTGATTGATTGATTGATTGAGACAGGGTCTCACTCTGTCCCCACAGGCCTGAGTGCAGTGGTGCAATCATGGCAGTCTCCCAAGTGCTGAGATTATAACCATGAGCCACTGCGCCCAGCCCCAACCCTTTTAAACTGGGCTGTCGGGTTGGGGTCCTAAGCGCAGTGACTAGGGCAGCATGGGGAAAGGGGAGGGCAGGGGAAGTCACCTGACTCCCAAAAGATACAGAAAAGTATGGAGGCACATAAGGAGGACAGAGAAAGAGCGAGGGTGATTCATTCTTTCATTCGTACAATGTTTATTGAGTGTCAAATGCTTGCCAGGCACTGTGCAAAACCACATAAACATGAGGTGGGAGGAGTGCAGTGGGCAGGGAGTGCCAGCAGGTCAGGGATGAGTACGGACAGGCAAAGACACAGACTTCGAAGCCGGAGACCAGCGCCGGAGCCGCTGCCTGCTTGCCTGCCTGCTGAGGGTGAGAATGCACCTGCTGCGGCGGCCCCACCTCGCCGTGGACGCCCGCCTAGGAGCGCCAGCCCTCTCCCGGTCCCCAGGTGTGGAAGCCAGGGGCCTCTGCAGCCCTGCGTTGCCCGGGGTTGGATGCAAACATCCCAAGAGCTAGGGGTGCCTTTGCTGGCTGGAAAGTGGCCATTCCATTTCCCTGCATGAACTCAGAAAGCTTCAGCCAGGCGCAGGCACATCCCAGGGAAACGCTCCCCCCAGGGAAAAGCTGCCCGAGGCCTTCCCTAACGTAGGTGTGCTTCCTCCTGGCCCCGGCCCCATGCACACCAGCCCTGGCATCGAAGGCTTAAGGAAAATAGGCAGAGAAGGCATTTGTCCTCTACTTTCTTCCCTTCTGGGTATAACAGGGAAGAAGCCTGGACACTGGGGTGGGCCTTAGTTGACCTCATGTCCCAGGACCCCGGTCTCCCCTACGTGAGCCGGGATCTAGAAGCTGGACCCTCCTTCCAGGCCTTGTAGCCTCTGCCGTCATCTTTCAGCCCAGACTTGTCCAGGAAGCCTCTGGGTCTAATAGTGCAAGCATCCAAAGTGCCAGAGCCAGGCTGCCACAGGCTCGGTGAGGCACGCAGCCGCCCTTGGCTCTCCCACCACCCTCCCAGAGGCGCAGGGACAGCCCCAGGCAGCCGCGCAGCAGCCTCACGGCCCGCCATCTCCTTCCCTCCCATCCCACCACTGCCTGGGGTCGAGGGTCAGTGCCCAAGGGTCCCACATTGTCCCCACCCACCTCCTCTCCTGACCCTGACCCCCATGCCCTCCTGTTTTGAGGTCACACACTCCCCTCCCCTCTTCTCTGAGCATCTCCCCCATCTCCGCCTGGACTGCAGCCCAGGTCCGAGGGCTGGTGCCGGCCACCCTCTCTTCCTTTGCAGGTTTCTGGGTCAGAACTGTGACCAGAGTCTTGCTCACCGCGCTCCTGCCACGGCTGTGCCCTGACCCCTGGGGCTGTCGAATCTGCTGCTAGCTCCAGGGCCTCCCTTCCAAGGCACTGCAGCCTCCAGCCCAGAAGCCTCTTCCCCTCTCTGCTTGGCGTCTCAAAGTCAACATCTTCTCCCTGCCTCCCCGCTCTGGGTACACAGCCCTCTCTACCCACTGGGCCGTCCGAGTCAAGGCACAGGAACCCTTTGGGTGTCTCCCCGACGTACCTCCCAAACCAGTCAACCCCACCGCCTGCGCAGCCGCCAGACGCCTGCTGTCCGGCCTTCTGCCCCGGCCCCTGCCCTGGCTCAGCTCCCTCCACCTGCATCTGCCTCTGTTCCCTGGGATCCCCTCCAGGCTGGACTAGCTGCCCCACAAGGCACCATCTTCCCAAAACACGAAGCACGTGGCCACGCCCCTTCCCTGGGAAAGGTCGCCTGCCTTCCCGTGGAATACGGAGTCCTTCCCGTTGTGCACCTGAGCTGTAGAATCTCCAGTGGTTTCCCAGACCAGCTGGGCCCCCAGGGCACGAGGCTCTGCATGCAGGGCGGCTGCCTCACTTGTTCTCCGTCTTCACCTCCCACCTCCTCCGTGCGCCTGGACGCCCTGTGCTCTTCCTAGTGCACACTCATCACACCTGTCTTTAGGGCTGAGTGGCACCCCCATGACTGTGCCCGAGCTCCCAGGGGCCAGGTCACTTCCCTGCATCCCATGTCCCACGTGGAGGACTGCACACACTGGGGGCCGGCAGGGCACTTCCCTGCATCCCTCGTCCCACGTGGAGGACTGCACAGGCTGGGGGCCGGCAGGGCGCTTCCCTGCATCCCGCGTCCCACGTGGAGGACTGCACACACTGGGGGCCGGCAGGGCACTTCCCTGCATCCCTCGTCCCACGTGGAGGACTGCACACGCTGGGGGCCGGCAGGGCGCTTCCCTGCATCCCGCGTCCCACGTGGAGGACTGCACAGGCTGGGGGCCGGCAGTGCGCTTCCCTGCATCCCGCGTCCCACGTGGAGGACTGCACAGGCTAGGGGCCGGCAGGGCGCTGGCCTCAGCTTTTGCACGGCATCTTCAGTTGATTTTCACAGTGATTGTAGATGTGAAAGGACATCTTCTGATTTTACAGCTAAGGAGATGGGCACGAGAGAGGTAAAGGGGCCTGCCCAGGTCCCAGAGCCCTCCAGCAGGGACAGGAGTTGGCCAGGGGTCTGTGCTCACTGCCTGCTGCTTCCTTCTGAGTGAATCTGTGGTTTCCTCTGCTCTGATTTTTGCCAATGTGCACAGCTGAGGCTGTGCCCCACCCCTTTCCACCCCCCCAGGAGGCTGCCTGACCCTCTAAGGGACTCGGGTTTGGGGTACTTCCACCAAATGCCCCCCCACTCACTGCCTGGCAAAGCTGTGATGGGGCAAAGTGTCTCCTGCCATCTGCTGTGACACAGAACCAGGGGCTCTGGCCACCAGGCAGTCCCTGAAGGAAGCTCACAAAGCTTCCAGACTTTTCCAGCCCCTGCTGGGGACAAGAAGTGGAAGGCTGGGCTGGAGCGGCATGGGTGTTTCATTGAAAGTTCACAGATACAAGGGCTTTGAGCAGGGTCACGGTGTGGAGGAGGTGGGGTCAGGGAGCACAGAGCGTGTCCTCAGATGCTGGCAGCCCTCCCATCCTGGGACACTTTTGCATAAGCCCTTCTTGCTGGGTGTCAGGTCCATGGGGCCTCAGGAGCCTGGGAAGGGGCACATGAGGGCAAGGACAGAGCCACTGGAAGCCGGGGTGCAGCAGCGTGGGGAGAAGCCCCCAGCCCCCAGATACAGGCAGGGTGGAGGCCAGGAGGCAGAGGGGGTGGGCTGAGGGCCAACCCCCTCCTTGCCTTACTCAGCTTCTGACGGCCTTCCTGCATGGTTCACAGCTCAAGGGGGCCCCAGGACTAGAATCCCTGCCCCACCCCCACTTCATGGGACCCTGCGTTTCAAGGGCCATGAAAATAAACACATCTCAGTGCTCTGTCCACCAGTGGCCGTGCCTGGTGGCCCTTAGTAGTCGGTGAGTGGGTACCGCAGGAAGATGAAGATGAGGATGATGCAGGAGGCTGCCAGGGCAGAGCTGGTGATGTTGAACAGCCGGGCGGTCTTTGCATCCTCCACGGCTCCATTCAGGTCATTGAGAAGCTTCTTGTCTCGCACCTGAAGCCGGGAGGAGGAGAGGAAACGGGCGGTCAGCCAGGGAGCGGGGCCTCGGAGCAGCCAGGGGCCCAGCAGGGCCGGTGCCACAGCGCACAGCGCAGTCTCGGTGCCTGGTTTCCGAGTGCTGACGAGTGAACTAGGGTTCTGGAGGAACGTGTCCCTGCTCTGGGGTACTGTGCACTGATGAACTCAGGGCACGGGGGTGTCATGTCATGTCTGAAACCTACTCCCAACCCTCAACTGGTCTATCAAATAGGGAAGATGTATTTACACAGAGAGAGAAGAGCAAATACGGTGAAACGTTAACATTCGGGACACCTGGGTGAAGGATATGAAGAAATGCTTTTTTGTTGTTTTCTTTTTTTGCAAGTCTTAAATGGTTAAAATAAAAGAAGTTGGCCTCAGAAAGAATATAACTGGAGGACGGGGCAACACAAGTGTCTCCGAATTTGATTGTTTCTGCCTAGTTTAAAATTAACTGGATGCCCTGAGAACGGGCGTGTGCATTGGCAGAAGAGGCAGGGATCCCAGGGGCCTTTGGGGAGGGATATTAAGGTGAAGGGAGGGGGCTGGAGCCCAGGAAGTCTTGGGGAGGCCATGGACTGAGCTGGATTCATTTCCAAGATGCAACTGTCATTCGGGATGAGTCATAGGGCCTCCCTACTCAGCACCCTTTCCTCCTGTCACATCCAGATATGTGCGTGAGTTTGCTGTAAGAAGAAACCAAGTTCTAGGATGAAGAAGGGAAGGAGAATGGAAAGAGAGAAAGAGAGGAAGGGGCAAGAAATCTTTGCTTTAGTAGATCGGGGCTGGGCCGAAAAAAGAAGGTGGGCAGATAGATACTGGGGCTAATGCCTGGATCCCTCAGCGTGCAGGTTAGGCAGATGGACAGGAGACCCAGGGAGGAGGAGTGGAGGGACAGCGGATAGATGGGTGGTCAGGGCAATGGGTGCATAACTGAGGGGAAGAAGGGAAGCATGGGTGGGTTGGCCTGTGGGTGGATGGATGAAGGCAGACTGGTGGAAGGAACCAAGGGAGAGGAGTGAAAAAGGATGAAGAGATGGATATGCAGTGGAGAATGGAGGGAGTTGGGAAGGGAAAGAGAGACTGCAACTCAGTGGAGTGGAATGGCGTGGGGTGGAGTAAATACAGTGAAGTGAAATAGTGTGGGGTGGATGGATGGAGTGGATGGGGTGGAATGAATGGAGTGGAGTGGGTGGAGTGAAGTGAGTGGATGGAGTGGATGGATGGAGTGGAGTGAATAGAATGGATTGAATAGACAGAGTGGATAGTGGAGTGAATGGAGTGCAGTGGATGGAATGGATAGACTGGAGTGGAGTGAATGGGGTGGAATGGATGGAGTACAATGGCTTGGATAGAGTGGAGTGAATGGAATGGATGGAGTGGATGGAGTAGAGTGGATGGAATGGATGGAGCGGAGTGAAGCGGATGGAGTGGAATAGATAGAATAGGATGGCTTGGATGGAGTGGAGTGAATGGAATGGACAGAGTGAATGGAGTGGAGTGAATGGAGTGCCGTGGATGGAATGGATGGAGTGGAATAAAAGGAATGGATGGAGTGGATGGAGTGAAGTGGTTGAACAGATGGAGAGGAGTCAATGGAGTGGAGCTGGTAGAAAAGTTGGAGGGAGAAGAGAAGGAAGGGAACAAGGGCAAATGGGCAAGTGGGTGACTTGGAAGATACATTGTACAGAACGTGCAACCAAAATGGAGAGATCAAAGATGGGAAAAAGCAGGACTTGAGGAATCAGGGTAGAGAAGGAGGCAGAAAGTCTATGCTCCACTGGGTCCTTATGCTAGTGGTTTTGGAGGAAACTGACATCTGCATTGAAATTTGTATTCCTTTCTAAGGACTGAATGTGTCACCCACTTATTTAGGTCTTATTTGATGGCTTTGTTAAAATAAAGTTGTATAACTTTCTCCAGAAAGAGCTATTACATCTTTTGTTAAATTTAGTCTTAATCTATTTATCTTGGCTTTTATTATAATGTAAAAGTACATTTCAAAATTGCATGTCTGATTTTGTATCCAGCTAAACTATCATACTGTATGAATTGACCACATGTTCTTTGTAATAAATCACATCTACAGCAAATACTGGTAGTTCTATTTCCTCCTTGCAGTCTATTCCTAGACAGCATAGCCGAGGTTAAAGCACAGATGCAGAAACACCGACTGGATTTCAATCCTGATTCTGCGGGTCACAGACCGTGAAGCCTTAGGCAAGCTAACAACTCACTCTTCCCTTCCTCACTTCCTCATCTGTAACATGAAGATGACAACAGTGTTGTCTCCCTGGGTTGTGGAAAACGCTTAATGAGTTGATGGATGTGAAGCTCCACTACAGTGCCTAGGCCAAAGTGAGCTCCTCTCATGAAGGCAAAGAAGATTCCAGAGCAATCCCAGATGGCAGTGATGATGACAAGCAGCTCAGTCTCATGCTTGACCTCAACGTACCAGGAAGGATACTGCTCATCTTACCATTAGAAATCTATGCAGGTGGATCACGAGGTCAAAAGATCGAGACCATCCTGGTCAACATGGTGAAACCCTGTCTCTACTAAAAATACAAAAATTAGCTGGGCATGGTGGTGCACGCCTGTAATCCCAGCTACTCGGGAGGCTGAGGCAGGAGAATTGCCTGAACCCAGGAGGCGGAGGTTGCGGTGAGCCGAGATTGCGCCATTGCACTCCAGCCTGGGTAACAGGAGTGAAACTCCGTCTCGAAAAAAAAAAAAAAATCGATTATTGCATTAAAATTTCCACAAGATAAGCATATTGTTTTCTGCTCTAATTCATTAATACAGTAGATTATACTCATTGATTTTCTTATACCAAGACAACTCTGAATTCCTAAAACAAACTTTTGTTCGTGATTTCTTTGTTGGATATTTGGAATGATGTGGCAGAGGGACGGTATCCACTTTTGATACTCAAAAGTGTATGCAGTGGAGGGCAGGAGGCTGAGGCAGTTGGGGTACTGGGTGCCTAGGAATGGCAGCCAGAACTAAAGAAGATAGGGAACAGCAGGATGGGGGAGTGACCCCATGATCCAGAAGGTGGGTGGATGGAGCTGAGGGGTTATATAGATGGAGGCTGGGTGTATGGGACAGAGAAATGGACGTAGAAACTTGCGATGGGTAGGGAGGAGGGCTGGGCAAACATACAGATGTACATTGCATGAGTGGAACAGGAGGTAGCTGAATTTATGAATACGATGCTTCTTGAGGTACAGTGGGGCTACAGTCCAATAAACCCATCATAAGTTTAAAGCGTTGTAAGCATTTTCATATGATGCATTTTTCACAAGCCTGGTAAGCTGAGGAGCACACTGAATGCCTATGGCTTTCCAGCCATTGTGAAGTTGAAAAATTGTGTGTCAAACCGTGAAAAGGTAGAAACCATCTGTATATGCTGGATGAGGGAACAAGTGCATAGATGAACATTTGTATGTATGTCCAAGTGGACAGATGGATATCCAAACACATGCCACGTAGGTGGAGCAGCTGGGTAAGTGGGTAAGTGAATGGCTGCCGGGTGGGAGGTGATGTGTGCATATGTGAGAGCATGTTCAGTGGGCGGGACAGGCAAGTAGGTGAATACACAAGAATGTGTGCTCATGTGTTTATGGTGGCTTGGACCAGGGCAGTGGCAGTGAAGGTGGTGAGACCTGGCCAACTTCTGGACATGTGTTGAAGGTGGAGCTGATGGTGTTTGCTGGGATCAGGTTTGCATGTGATAAAAAGAAGGGGAATTCACGTGATTTGAATGAATGGGCAGGTGGTTACAGGAATACAGGAACGGATGCCAGACTGGAGTAGCAGGTGCACAGAAGGGTTTCTGAATGCATGCTGGACGGCTGGGACAGAGACAGGTGGATAAACGGATTTATTATGCATGATGGATGCATAAGACTGGTGGGTAAGTGGAAAGGAAGAACAGTTGCTGATAAAGAAACATAGTGTAGACCAATGGATGGTAGATGGATAGATTCATTGATCAATCAACCACCGATCAACAGTTACTTAGTGACTGCTCTGGGTAGTTGCGGCTTTACTTCTTGCCTGTATCACAAGATACAAAACAGTCCCTGGCCCCACACAGCTTACATTGCAGGGAGAAGGTACAGAAAATGAACGCAGTAAATAAGTAAGATCATGTAATATGCTCAATGTTCTAAAAAGAAACCTGAAGAGGCTACGGGGAACAGAGAGTGCAGTAGAAATCTAGCTTGCTGGCCGGGGAGACATTTGAGGAAAGACCGGAAGAATGTGACAGACTCGGCCATGTGCTCATTTCAGGGAGGTGTGTCCCCAGAGCACAGAACTGTCTATGGGGGACCCAGCTGCAGAGTGGGGGCAGCAGATCACAGAGAGAAAAGGGGAGGACATCCGGTCAGAGGAGACCAGCCAGGAGCATGGCGCAGGCTCTGCGGTGCTTTTAGTCATTTGGAGCCAAACAGATGAGCATGATCTGATGTGTGTGAATGAGACGGTGCCGGCTGCTGTGCTAAGAGCAGATGGCGGAACAGGCAGAGAGAGGTGAGCTGAATGGTCCAGGGGAGTGTGGGGATGGCTTGGAGCAGCGCAGCAGGGGTGAAGGCAGTGAGACCCGGCCAGCACCTGGATGTGCACTGAAGGTAGAGCTGACGGTGTTTGCTGGGATCACGTGTGGCGTGTGATACAGAGCATGGAACTCGACATGGTCTCAAGGTTTCAGGGTTTTGATCAGCTCCACAGGGAGCTGTAGAAGACGGCAAAAGGAAGACTCGCTCAGCAGTTCAGTTTCTGACATGTCAGGTCAGGAATGCCTTTTAGACACAGTAGACATTTGCCTTAGCAATGTTTGTGAGTCTGGAGTTCAGAGATGAGGTCTAGGGCAGAGACAGAAATGTGAGCGGCATCACCAGAAAGATGGTAGTTAAAGGTGATATAGTTTGAAAATATGTCCCCGCAGAATCTCATGTTGAAGTGATCCT